GCTTATGAGTTGCAAAAAATTGAGAAAAAAGAGAGAAAACTAGATCTTTGTAAGAGCTGGAAGATTGATGAATAAGGAACAACGGATGTGCAGTCTTCGCTGTTGTACGTAATATTTGTTATAAAAAGTGTAAAAACGGCGGCAACAAGGAGGCTATCTTTTCAAGTTTATGGAGCACTTAATGCATCCGATGGCCCATTATGTCTATAGTTTTAAAGTCGCCGAGAAATTATTACGACGTAGTTTAGTGAATTTTTTTTTATATATTACATTCAATATTTCTATACCTACATCGACTAGGTCGTTAAAGATTTACCATCGAATTATTGATATTTAACAGCCGTGTGAAAATTTTGTCCAAATAAATTTAGTGTAATCATTTTATTTTTTTTTTTCTACATAGAAATTCTATAATAAATAGTTTTTATATGATGGACAAAAAATTCTTCAAAAACGATTAAGGCTACATTATGTTTATATATTTATGGTTATGCATATATAATATATATGAAGACAATTGACTTCAAAGGGATGAGTCTGCGGTTGCGAAATTACAATATCGTTAAAACGACGAGCAAGTTTGTGGATCATGTATACAAGGAAGATGTGAGAGAAAATAACTCTTCACTACTTCACTCACTCTGGAGAATAGGCGTATGATTATATGTATTATGTGGGCCAAGATTGGTAAGGTACGTAATAAAATAATTGAAATAATCACACGCCACAAGGACTACTCACGCGCCATTCACGATTCCAGCCTGGTGATGCTGTGATCCTGACCAACCGCAGAATCATTTGAGAATTCTAATCGCAGGTGATAAAATATTTAACTTGGTCAATATTCATAACTGCGAGGAGAAGAATCGTTTTATTGCACAGTAAAAAATTTGGCACAAAATTTTTTAACGCAAAGATGCAAAATTTTTTACTGTGTGGCTTTTAAAAGTTCTGAGGTGTCAATTTGGCTTTAAAATTTTAACTGACTATTAAAAAAAAATATTAGAAAAATTTAATCTACAATTTCAAATTTTCTTATCGTGAAAAAATAATTTCTAGATAAAAAAATAAAATTTTTGTACAAATTAGTAAAGGGAAATATTTATAAGCAGAAAAAATTAAATATATTTTTTGTTACTTTTATTTATGAATTCACGATTCACTGATTAAATAATTATTAATTCGTTCCAATGGTATTAATATTTTATTTCTGTTTATTATAATTCGTAAATTAAAATAAAAGTGATTACTATTCAGAAAAAGTACAGTGTACATATACGTACATATGTACTTATAAAATAATAACGAAAAAAAAGCAAAGGAGCGTCTGGAGTTTTATATCAAGACAGGCATTAAACACACTCTCCGATGCCATCAGGCATATTTTATTCTTTTATTTAATTCCCTCGCAATTTAAATATTATCCCTCACTCGAATTGTAAATAATTGCGGGTAAATTCGGAGAAACCTTTGCGGAGTGACTAAACCAGAAGAATACAAATAAGCCCACTTATATAAAAATGAAATGTGTATTAAATAAAAATAACAAAATTGTATAATTTTTATTGCTCATTTAATTTGTTATTCCCCCAATTACCGACACTTGATTATTAATCCAGTTTGTTCATCACATACGTAATTTTTTCTGGGAATAATAAGCCATAGTGCTTTTCAATGTCATTATACTTGCTATAAACAACTGCCTGAAGAAAATTAATGAGTATAATAATTATTTTAATAATTTTATTACCAATTAAAGCTAAAGGTGGAAAATAAAAAGTAACGATTTTTTTTACCCTGAGCAGTCGCGCCGCGATGTCCTACGTAGAGGATTGTGCGTGTTTATAGTTTCTGTGAACGCGACTACATCGCAATCAACTTCTCTTGATGACCACTTTCTAGTAGATCAAACCACTACTTTAATACTTCCACGAACTCATTTCATTTGTCTCAGTTGTTTACGGGGAATATCTATTAAATATTACTTGCCATCAACAATGTTTATAATAATTTTAGATTTATATGTACTTCTTTTAAAACAATTATCATCTTCATCAACTTTTACTGCAAATTTTTAGTACTTTAATACCTTGAAAAATTTTAATGAAATTTCTAGACATCGGGAAGCTTTTGCTTTCAATAATTGAAGGAGATATTTTTAAGATGAAATTTAAAGTATGTATAATATCTACTTAGAACTTCAGACCAAAGAAATTATTGTAAAAATTAATAGATAAATAAAAAAAAAGACGTATTTAATTTTATATTTTATAATACTGAACTAAACTTATAACTAAAATTAGCCAAAATTCAACAGTTTTTGATATTTTCATCAATTAAATTACAAGTAAAAAAACACTTTTCAAAAATTGAACGTATAATTTTTTTAATTTTCTGCATGTGAAATTTTTTATTAAAATTTTTTTGTAATAATTTTTTAAATGAAAAAATTCTGAAAATTTTTAAATGTCGGCTAAATTAATTTTCATGCCAGAAGTTTCACTTTCTAATAAAAAATTTTCCTCAAATATAAAATAAAAAATTATACAATAAATAAAAATGCCGTAAGTATTTACTACTTACTTATTTATTACTTACTACTTAATATATATTTCATACGTCTGTTTGAAAACATGAACTTACCTGTTTTATCTTCACGAATTCTTCTTTAATGTCCGTGGATAAGACCGGATCCTGTGAACAGAAAATAAAAACTAAAATTAACCTCGTACGTGACGTCACATTCTCCCGTGCCGTGTGTAGTGCTGTCGAAACCTCACACGTTGTGTTGAGCATTTATATATTTATATACTCAAATTTGCCGGTGTCTGTTCAATTTTTATACCAGGTATTTTCGATAATAAATTACTCATTTAATTATTTTACTTAATTACATTTTTCTCAGAAGTGAAATGAATAAAAATTAAATTGTTATTTATAAGGAGTACTGATAATTCATTTCATAGAAATTTAATATTTAATGGAATGATTTATATTAAAATAATTTTTTGTTAATTTATCATTGTTGCATTAATTTATATAGATTAAAATAGCCTTAAGAATTTTTTACTTAGACTATTTAATTGTTATTCGCAACATCAGGTTATGTTCTTCAATCTGGTCTCTGGTACTGGTGGAATACACTGTGACTTTATTTTTTGAACTATCCGTTAGGTGGCGCTTGAGTCGGTTGCCCGCGAATTGAAACAGTTTAAAAATTTCAATCAATAAATTATATAAATAGAAAAATTATAAATTTTTTTTTTTATTTTACTAATTAATAATTTAATTTAAATTTTATTGCTCAAAAAGTATAAAAAATTTTTTTTCATTAACTATTATTTAATAATTTAATTTAAATTTTGTTACTAAAAAAAAATATTATTACTTTTTTTTGTTTTTTAATACTTAATAATTTAATTAAAAAAAGAAGTTGAAGTAAAATTGAAAAAAAAATTTTTTTTAATAGAAAATTGTTCTTTTGTCCAAAAATAAATAAAATTTTATTTAAAAATTGAAAAAAAGAAATTTTTTTTAATAACTTAAATATTAAATTAAATAAAAAAATAAATTTTTAATAAACACAAAATTCCATAAAGTTGTTGATAAAAGTTATAAAATAATAACAGATAAAAAAAAAAGCGAAGAAATTTGTGGAGAGAAAAGAAGCCGGTGAATCACAAGAGACGGTGGCCGATTGGGAGCCTGGGGCTTGGTTGCGGATTCTCGGCGTGATGCCGGTGATTCGTGGTCGCGGTGCCCAGTGATCAAGCCTCTACCCGGCATATTCCTCCCCCGTGTAACCTTCTTCATCCTCGTGGTATTCTTATTTCATTGTATCCTTATTGTGGGCCCTATGTACTACGTATATCGCGGCGGTGCACTCTTCGGTGGCGGGTCTGCCGTCCTTTTCTCTTCTCGGGTTATACTTTGATAGCAGCGCCCGCGGCCGCAACAGCTCCGTCCTGTGTATCCCCAGCCAACCTCTGCACGGTTTTATCGTTTGATACCCAAGAGAAGATGCAAACTGTTGGTTCGCGGTCCCCAGAGATACCAACGGTAATCTTGCGGTAAACACTGCTATCGTTCGATGCCGTACGCATTAATATAATTAGTCACCGCGAGCGCATATTCAGCGAAAACCGCGCATTCAGTCAACTTTGCTTTTTTATATACCCCCTAGGTATTTCATATATACTTAAATGTTTAGATATATACATATATATTAAAAGAAAGGGAAAGAAATTGAGGTGGAAAAAAATACTGGAGCTTAAAGTATGAATTAACGATAACAAATTTAATAAATCGTTCTAAATTACAAAAAAAAAAAAAATTTATTCATATTATAACACATTAAAAAAAATTTTTTTATCTCTAAAGAACAATTTTTTGAATGAAAGAAAAATTTTTTTGAGTCTAAAAAATATCTTATTGCTCAAAAATCTTAAGAATTTTTCTGATTCAAGTAATCTTTTTTTGTATAAAAAAATTTCAAAGTATAAATGTAAATAATAAAAAATAAATTGAAGCATTCTACGTTCTTAAGTATAAGACTGTAAATTTATAAGTTTAAAATAAAACAAGAAAAATTAAAGGTAGAAATAATGCCGGAGGTGATTAGTTTAAAATCGTAAAATGATCGCGGAAACGATTGCATCAATTGGCAGCAGAAGCGGCCGTAATAATAAAGTGACGGAGCTCGCATCTATTCATTTACTCTAATACAGTGGTATGTGGTATATAAGTAGCCGATTTCAATGCAACCGATGCTGTCCGATTATTTCTATACTGATACCACTGTAATTATTAATAATTTTCGTATTTTTAGTTATGAATTCTTAGATAAGTAGAGTAGTGTCCAAATGCTTCTGGGATTGATTCGTAGGTTGCTTCGAGCCATGGTTTTTTTTTAGTACCGTCTGCTTTGTCTGAAACACCCTATAATAAATAAATAGTAGTTACTTAAATATAAAAAAGGCTATCCGTGTATTATTCACAGAATGCCTCCTAAGAAAGTCGAGGAGCCAGAACGGAAGCCGCTGATCGGGCGAGTGGGCACCAACCTAAAGATCGGAATCGTCGGGATTCCCAACGTCGGAAAGTCTACGTTTTTCAACGTCCTCACAAAGAGTCAAGCTGCTGCCGAAAACTTTCCGTTTTGCACCATTGATCCTAATGAAAATAAGTATCAGCTCCGCGTTTAAAATTTTTTCTTCCACTTTTCCATTTTTTTCTAACCTTTTATATTTATTTAGCACGTCGCGTTCCAGTTCCTGATGCGAGGTTCGATTACCTGTGCGAGTACTACAAACCCGTCAGGTGAGTTTATTTTTATTATTTAAATTTTTATTTTTTAAAACTAAAACATGCTTTAAGCAAAAATATAAAGTTATAAATCAATAAACTAAATATATGTGAAGCATATGCATGCTAAAGTCCTTGTAGAGGAAACTATTCGGAATAACTGTCGCAATTTCCATACATCTTTGCTGCGACTGCCTTTATCCAGCTCAGCAGAGGGGGTGAGGGTCACGTTTCCACAAAACGTGATCTGCAATGTAGATTATCCCGAATTTCATCTCCAAAATATACGATACACATACCATCAGAGCCGACTTTTGTATCGACAAATACATGCATAAATTTTGCTGCTACCAACACCACTCTATACTAATTTTTTCCGATCACCGATCACCGAGAATTGTCATGCAGAAAACATCTAATCGTGACATTTTAAAATCTTCTAACGACGTGTTTAAATATTTGAACGTCAAACAAACGTCAAGCTAAACATTTTAGTTTTATTTAAAATCAAAAGCTTACACAAGACTAGTAAGCAGTAAATATTTGAGTTAACTCTTGTTTGATTTTAAAAATAAAAGTAATGTTAATCAGCAGTAGATCAAAGTATAAAATGTATGTGATAGTTTAAAGTTTACTTTATCCTTAACGCCCAATTCTCGCAGTTATTTAAGTTTAAAGCCACGTGTTTTAGAATGTTACAGCGTAACAAAAGCCAACTAATCAGCACCCATCATCCTTGCTATACGTATCACATACTGGGCTATTACTATACTGAGGCTTGTCTTCAAAGACTAATTGTTTAATGAGGTCGACATTAGCATTTAAATGCATTGTCATTGCAAATTTCACTTATTTTGTCTCTCTTTCTGTATTTAAACTCAGCGCAAGCTCTCTCTTATATTACGACACCCTTAATCTAGGCCACACGTCAGCTCGGCCCTTTGATCTCAGTTATAAAGTAACCCGATGGGTGGATGTGATGATGATGGCATTGAAATTTAATTATGTTATACTTCAAAAGTAATTTTACTTTTTGATGCATTGATACTTTACTTAAGAGTAATTAATTAACGATTGTTGATGTTTTTTGCTTTTAATGTTTTTTTTTCAGCAAAGTTCCAGCATTTTTGAATGTCGTCGACATCGCTGGGCTTGTCAAAGGTGCTGCCGAAGGACAGGGATTAGGAAATGCTTTTCTATCGCATATCAATGCTTGTGATGCGATCTATCATTTATGCCGTAGGTTTTTTATTATAATTAAGGATTTATGAAGATAAAAAAAAATTATTTTTCATTAATTTTAATTATAACATTGTAAAATTTTTTTTATATTTTGAGTTAAATTAACAAACAAGCGATGGTTAAATTTTCCGTGTTGATAATTGCATTACTCAAAGTAAAGCGACTGCAGATAATGTTTGAATTAATTAAACGAAATTTTTAAAACTAAACTTGTATATAGATCTCTTACGGAGAAATGAGGTAGAAAATAATAATTATCCAATTATGCATATCACAATTATGGCGTATAATTAAAGTAGACTGCAATTTATCATATCCAGTCGATATTGATCGTTTTCATTCATAAAAAGTTTTCATTTGCCGGTAGAATTCTCATGTGGAAACTTTGCACGATCGTCCGCTCCGACAATGCACAAGGGTCGTCGAGGTTTAGACGCAAAGAACTCACCCCTCGAGTTGCATTACGTGTAGTACCGTACTGTACATTCATGAACTCGACGCACATCACAAAGAACGTATTTGCTTATTGAAATAACGGGTTATTAGTGTCTACTTGCGGAATTATACTGGGTAGAAAAAAAAATAAATAAAAGATAAATACGAGTGCGGAAAACGTGTCGAGTAATTGAATTAGAGAGTCAATAACGGTTGCGTGTCACTTGGACGTCTAATTGTCGTGGTTACACGATCGAGTCTCTTGTGCGTGATGTTTTCTCCTCGACTCCGTTATTTGTATCCATTTGTCAATTTTTTTCCTTTTTGTCTATTTTAATATTCATTACCTTATTTTATTACTCATTACCGCCATTATCCATTATCTCTCAGTTTTATGATATTCTGTTTAAATAAGTAAACTGTCTACTTGGAAAGACAATCTCATTTTTTATCAAAAGTTTACTTGGAATAGAAGTCTATAAATTTTTTTAACAATTACCAAATATTTGACATTCTTTTTTTGTTTTATTTAAAAAATATATAATTACTTAGGAAATATTAAAAAAAAAATTTTATTCTTAGTTTTTTATAAATTACACTTTAGATTTTTAATTTTAATTTTATTTACAATAATTTACTTGTTTAAGAAACCCCAAAAATTATAAAATGAAGTTAGCCGACATTTCAAAATTTTTAAAAACTTTTTATTGAAAAAATTCCAATTAAACAATTAAAAAAAAAAATTTCACATGTAAAAAACTTGAAAAACTAGAAGTGAATTTTTTTTAAAATATCTTTTTAGTTTTAATTTAATTAATAAAAAAAATCAAAAATTTTTAGACGTCTAACTTCAGTGTCATCAAAAATTTCGAAATATTAATTTTAAAATAAAATTTTTTAACAAAATTATTTTAGGAGCTTTTGAAGACGACGATGTTACCCATATCGAAGGCGAAGTCAACCCCGTAAGAGATCTTGAGATAATCTGCGAAGAGTTACGGCTCAAGGATGTCGAAATGCTCAATGGTCATCTGGAAAAGTTGGAAAAACTAGTCGTACGCGGTAATGACAAGAAACTTAAGCCTGAATATGTAAGTAATCAAATTGAATTCAATTATAATTATTTTTTTTCATTGTTCATGCTTGTAGTATGGTAAGTAAACATGTTTCAACAACTAAAATTCCCAACAAAACAATTAAATTCTCAAAGCTTAAAAAACAAAGTTTGAAAGCTAATTTAAAAGTAATGCCAGTAGATCACGAATAAAATTTTCAATCTTTTTTTTTTCAAATAAAAAAACGAAAACAAATCTAAATAAATAGTACATCGCTTTTGAGCCACTCTCAAATAACAAGTTCTTCGATAGATCGCAAATATGGCGCGCTAAATAACCTCGTACGGGTCTAAAAGGGTGGCGTTCGACGCTTCTCGGAACTAATAAACTCTGAACTCTGAATAGAATGTTACTCAGACTAATCAACTTTAAGAATACACTCCAGCTTACGTTAGCAATTGCAGTTTGTTTTCAAGTTTTCGACAATACTTTTCTGATTTACATACATATAAAATATATACCAGTTGAAGATAGTTAACGCTTTTTTATACAAGCCCTACCTTGTAGTCCTGCACGCTCGGTTAAATCGGTACTTTATAAAGATAATGACACTTACTCAACTGTGGAGAATTGCATGTCCAATAAGCTCAGCTGTATACAAAAATATAAGCCTGTACGAATAAATACGAGAGCTTATTATCATAATAACTAATGTATCTTGAGTTAAAAGTCGATCAAGATCACTTTACATTTTTTTTAACTACCAAACTATTTAAATTACCCTTTTAATAAATATAAATTCACTAAATAAAATTACAATTTTTAATTATTGCAGGACACTCTTTTAAAAGTCAAAACAATTTTGGTAGAAGAAAAACAACAAGTCAGGTTTGCTGATTGGAGTCTTAATGATGTACGTATTTTTTTTTTTTTTTTAATTAATTTAATTTAATAATTTATAAAAAATTTTATTTTGATGTTTAATAATTATTTTAGATCGACGTGCTCAATAAATATTTGTTTTTGACGTCGAAGCCCGTAATTTACTTGGTGAATCTCTCGGAAAAGGATTATATTCGTAAGAAGAATAAATGGTTTGTCAAAAATATATAATTTACTATTTTATTTTTATTTTTATCGTGTGTAAAAGTTAATATGTTGTCTCTGTAGAATCGATACGCAACGTATGAAAGTTTATTTAACATTTTTACTGCCCTATTACTATTACTATACCCATATAAATGCGTTTTGTCGCCATGAAAGCTTTGTAACCCGAAACCGCGTGAGTACACTATTAAAAATGCATTCACAGAACAATTTAAAACGCACGCATCGTATTTTACATAGAATATATACTATATATACCGACGTTATTGGTTTTCAACGAAACTAAAAAACATGTCGTGTCATCGTCCTTCGTGCATTAATGTTTCACACTATCCTGCTATACATATAAATACTAAACTGATATCACACAAGCGACGTCTACTTAATACTATTTAGCTAAATAATTATAACAATTGATAATAATAACCGCTTGGAACCAGAAGTCCAATAACAGTCGATTGAATTTATACACAAAGTATTTTAAAAGCTGGTAATTTTTTAAAATAACACTATTGATATTTCTTTTCGACTTATAATTTTATTTTGTCAATCTTTACCAATTTTTGGCTGTATATCCAATTCATATCATTAAGAGAATAAGCAAAATTTTTTAGTCAGAATATTTATATGATAAAATGGGTTTTTATGGTTAATTTGATATCGTTGGAAGTCTTGACCTGGAGTTGTGCCTTTTCATGGTTTCATATCATTTTCACGAATAGTTAATTTATGATGATAAGTATAGACTGCATTCAAAGATGCTCTATCTCTAGATACATAATTAAGAAATGACCTTGTATCTCGTAAACTATTGACATTTTTAAAGATATAAGTTTATACCGATGTTACACTCATCAAGACCTTTCATTTAAGTACCCACATCAATTTTTCATATATTTATATATATTATATATATGTATATATAAAAAATATGTCAAATTGCATGTGGGTACTCAAATGAAAGCTCTTGATGAGTGTATCATCGGGATGAGCGTATATCTTTAAAAAATGTCAATAGTCAAACAATTACAGTGCAATTTAACAAAAACAATTATTTAATAAAGCAAAATTTTATGTATTTATAATTCACAAGTCACGGCAAGGTTGCTAGTTTAAATGAATTTTTTATTTTAATAAAAAATGAGTTAATTATTATTATTATTATTAATAATTTTTTGTAATTTTATTTGAACAGGCTCATAAAAATAAAGGAGTGGGTAGACAAAAATGACCCTGGTGCAACACTGATACCCTTCAGCGGTGTTTTTGAGAACAAAGTAATCGATATGGACGACGCTGAACGCGCAAAGTACTTTGAGGAATCCAAAGTTACGAGGTGAGTCATTAAAAGTACTTGAACGCGAAGGTAAAAAATATAAAATTAACAAGACAATTTAAAAGTTTGATGGCTGCAAAACGGTCAATAAAAATATTTTTCTTCCATAAATTATAAATGATAAATATATCCATACAGATATATAATATATAATACGTAATATGCAACATATATATGAGTTCCCACGAAATTTTTCGAGCTTAGTTTCTAAGTGAGCACCATCTTCGTCGAGCATACTTACGAACTGCCGGCTTAGTGAATAATGGAAGGGTTCCCCTATACTCTTATACTCTTATTCTCAGATCATGTCTAGACTTATATATCCCTTTCGTTGAGAATCTATAAAACCGGGATCATTTACTCACTCGCCATTCGCCAAGAAGAAGCATTATATTTTTTAGCACACAGTGTTATTCAAATTCTTGTTAAATTGCATAAAAACCTCGGGTGGTTCGCGATGAAAGCTATAATAATGCGTTTAATGCCGTCTCTGAATCATCATCCACACTGGGTCATCTATAGCTAGAGGGTTGCAATGTACGACTTATTTTACTTATTCCCTTTTCCCTTTTTTTTTTTTCTTCAGATTCAGATTTATTTTTCTAAAAATCATTTCGGTTTTTTTTTATTTTTATTTTCTACCGTCAGTATTATTAAGCTCTTTATGAGTAATTGGTCGATCGAATTCCCGACGTAACTGACCATTTCGATTGAAAATATAGGTCAAATACTATTACAGTTAAAGTTTTAAAATAATTATAAAATTGATTCGAAGAAGTAGTTTAACAAATTAAGAACCTAAATTTCGATATTCGTCATCTATTATTATTTGTTTTTTATTTTACGTTTTTAAAGTTAATTCAACAATACGGAAATTGATACTACCAATGACGGTAAAATTTTTGTCTTGAAACAAAATAAAATAAAATGAAACTAAAGAAGCTACGAAAGGGGAACGAAGATTATTTTTCGAGCTGAAATGCCTACTGATGCCCATCAAAAGTGACTCTATGACTAAGACAACAGTAACTAGTAATCATAAGACTGAAATGATTTTATTTTAGAGACCACAAGATCACTGGGTTGCCCATTCACCCTCAAATACTACTAATTCCCTGCGCGATTCAAAAACCTCTAGTCAGAATGATAAAATTGTGCAGTATTAAGTCGTTCGGTTTATGTGTATTCTCTGAAGTCCCGAAGTCTAAAGGTCCGCATTCAATTACTCTCTTTCTCTCTCTAGATATTTATTATTTCCTTTTTTTCTATACTTTTTCGCTCCCTTTCACTCTCACTATCTTTCTCCGTAGGGTGTATACCCTGTCATTAGACGATGTTTAGTCCAAGACAATCATACTTCACGGTCAAGCAGTTCGCTTTTAAAACTATTGCTCTTTTGCAATAGACTTACCAGTTAAATAGTTTGGAAAATTTTTTACCGCTCCCTCATTTCTTTTTTTTTTTTCAATCTCCTTTTTTTTTATTAGTGAACCAACCGTAGTTTCACTAATTTCAACTGATGAGTCTTTTAACATTTTAAATGTTTCCTTTTTCAATCGATTGAAAAACAATTGTTTGCTATTTATTTTTTCAGCGCGCTTGAGAAAATCATTGTCCAGGGTTACAAAGCCTTGCAACTGCAATATTTCTTCACTGCTGGCCATGATGAAGTCAAAGCTTGGTCAATCCAGGTTTGTCTTTTTTTATTTTATTAATTGTTATTATCAATAATAACTTTGAAAAAAAAAAAAAAACAAATCAATTTGAATTCTAAAAAAGTAATAATAATTGATAAAATTGACAGAAAGGAACAAAAGCGCCTCAAGCTGCCGGTAGGATCCACACGGACTTTGAAAAAGGTTTTATCATGGCTGAAGTCATGAAGTTTGAGGACTTTAAAAATGAAGGCTCCGAAGCTGCAGTCAAGGTACTTAAAAAATTATTATTATTAATATAAATAATTTTTCTGTTATTAATAATAATAATAATAATAATAATAATTTCAGAAAAAAAATTACTCAGAATAAAAATAATTTTTATAAAAAATTTCTTTAACAAAATAAATTTTTTTTTTTTAATTATAAATAAATAAATAAATAATGGTAGTTTACAGAAATATCTAATCACAAATTATCGTTAATCGTTACAGGCAGCAGGAAAATACAGACAGCAGGGTAGACATTACGTCGTTGATGATGGTGATATCATACTATTTAAATTTAACGCCGGCGCTGGACTGAAAGATCCCAAGAAAAAATGATAACACACTGATCTTTTTTACGCTTATGTCACACATAAATGTTTTTTTTTTTTTTTTTTTTTTTTTGGTATTGCATTGCGAGCGTCAATTGATATTTATATCGATAATTTCAACTGAATGATATATATATTTATCAATAAAATATTTCAATTGTTTTTTTTTTATGTAGACCAATTTAACTCTTGAAATTTGATAGTAAATTTTTTTCTTACCAATATTAAAAGTTATTTTTTATAGTCTAAGAAATCCCAGTTTTCATATTACTAGCGTTATCTATCGGAATTCCTTCAAACTATGTCATTGTTGATAAGACTCACTAGGTAATAGTTCATTATTATTATTATTATTATTATTATTATTATTATTATTATTTAATTTATTATCAACTAACCAGCTGTTAGGATGACGATACAAATATGCTATCAAAATGTTGAGATATTACCTCAGTTGGATACGTAACACGGAAGTGTGGACGTTTTGATCCAACACGTATTAGTTTAACATGTGCTTTTATTAAATTATTTTTATTATTTATTTGTACATTTATTTAGCTAATTATTCTCCAAACAATGAGCGCTAAGGTAAAATGGATTTATTTGGCGGCATTTTTAGTAAGTTATAAAAATATTAAATTAATAATACTCATTATATAATAAACTATATTAAGTAATGCCTCTAGTTGATAAATTAAAAAAAAATTATCTTACAGGATTTATTCGCCGTTAGTTTAATAGTACCATCAATGGGAGCGCATTTGAAAGGATTAGGCGCTTCTTATTTTATGATAGGAATGATGACATCTATTTACGCTCTCACTCAACTATTGAGCGGCCCAGTAATTGTAAATATTTATTCAATTTTTTTCAGAGTTAATATTCAATTTTAAAAAAAGCTGTAATCATTCACCTTCAAAATTGTTTTACTAAAAAAAAATCTTTTTCTTTAAAAAATTACAAGATTTTGAAATTGGATTAAATATTATTACTTATTGATTTAATAATAAGACTTTTTCCAGGGCAGCTGGAGTGATAAAATAGGCAGACAAAAATTATTTGTAACAATCTATTTAATTGTCGGTTGTTGTTATCCACTGATTGGATTAGTCAACTCATATTACATTATTTTATTGCTAAGAGCTACAATCGGTAACAATATATATTTTTCTTTTATTTAAATTCATTAATTCAAAATAAAATTTAATCTCTACAATTTTAATTTAAATTTTGCAGGAGTCTTCAAACATGGACAGGTATTAATTCGTACAATAGTTACTGATCAGATCCCGATAGAAAATCAATCTTCATTGTTTGGACACTTAAAATCAATTGCTGGAATAAGTTTCACGATTGGCCCGGCGATAGGAGGTCATTTATCTGAATTAGACGGAGGATTCCGATATGTTGCTTGTTGCACTGGATTTTTATTGTTTTTGAACAGTGGTTCGTATTATAATTCATAAAATTTACAATTTTAATATTTTATAATTATAAATTAAGTTAAAAGACTCAGTTATTGACACTGGCCTAGTTATTAACACTTGCAATTTTATTTTAATTAAAAACAAAAAAATCAACTCTAATAAATTAATAAATATAATTTTTGAGTTATAAATTTTAAAATAATTGGTTTTTTGAAAACATTTTATTTTTTTAATTGGAATAAAAATTGCAATTGTCAAACAACTAGGCCAGTGTCAATAAATGGGTCTTTTACCTTAATATTATTTATTAAAAAATCTCATTTTATAATTGAATGAATTAAAGAAGTACTAAAAATAATTAACCGGTGTTATATAATTAAAAAAATTACAGTAATTGGATATCTGTATCTCGATGATATAACAAAAAATGATGCGTCTGATCAGCAAAAAAAAGATGAACATAGATCAAAGTCTTTGCGTCAAGAAATCACTGAAGCGATACGCAGTCTTGCAGACGTGAACTGGCGCCTGTTTGGCCAAGTATTCGCGTTAAAATTTATACTCGACATGTCAGCGGGCCTGTACCACTCTAATTACAACTTGAAAATACAAGAGCGATTTGGTATAACGCCCAAAATTTCAGGATATACGATAGCGTTTCAGAGTTTCGTCGGTGTTATCACTGGACTGTTTGTCGCTAAAATAAATGACAAGTTGTACAATTCTGATGTGGATTACAAAAAGCGGAATATGCATGGTTACATACTGATGGTTGTTGGATACCTAGGGATTTACTTTGCAAGCAGCTTGAGAGTATTTCTTCTTTGGACAGTCATTCTCAAAACTAGCCACATGTTTCTGAGGATAATTTTAACTGATATGCTGATGCGAAAATGTCCACCTTCACAAACCGGGTCTGTTGCCGGTACGTCGAACAGTGTATCGAATTTGGCGCGTCTGATTACCCCCGTGGTTGCCGGGGTTTTCGAAGACACTTGGGGGACCAACAGCGCTAACTTTTTGGCAGCCCTCGTTGCGAGTATAGGAATTTTTATTGCATTGGGGATAAGCAGAAGTCATCCGAAAAGTCAATAAATTTTTGTTATTTATAATGAAATTTGTAAATATTTTACATAGATGAAATAAAATAAATTATTAATAACTTAAGACGGAAAAATAATAAAGAAGTTTAGAATTTTTATTTACATTTTAAGTCTAAAGTAATTTTTCTTACAATATTAATTACTTGCACTGATAAGAAAGTGTAGATATTACTTTTGTCACATCTTACAAGTTTCTTCTTTTAAATTTAATTACACGGATTTTCAATCTTGAAATTTCAGCATTGCTTGTGACTTATTTTGCTCGTCCACAAAAGAATCGTAAAGTTTCTTACCGTCTAAATCTTGATGCTTGGCACATTCAGCTCGCATTTCTTTTAGAGATTCTGTGAATGTTCCTGGTGTGTTAAACCAATGGAACAATCCAACGGGAAAAGAAATGTACAGTCCCATTTTTACGATCTCTAATTGCCACCCCATTGTAACTCTGGAATATTAAATAATCAATAAATATTTTTTTAAATATATAATTAAGTTATAAAATATTAAAAACTGACTTTTGCATGTCAATATTTTATAATTAAATATTTCAATGATAATAAAAATAAAAAAAATTATTTCGTTTTTATTTTGATAATAACCTTATATAGAATATATATGTACATACCGATTAATACGAATAAAGGTATTTGATTTTTGAAAAAAACTCGTGAGTTACGAGTTGTAATGCAATATTTTTGATCCAAACTAAAAACTTATTACTATTATTATTATTATTATTGATCTTAAGATTAATAATAAGTAAAAATTTACTACGTACTTGATGGTACTTTATCAGATGTTATTGTTTATTTGGTACCGAAGCCTATAGTTAAAAAAATGAACTAAAATAAAGATTCTTTTTTAATAAAATAGAATTCTATTTTATTAACTGCAAGTACATAGTCTTGTTAGTTTCTGATAATAAAGAAGAACTCGACATTATTCCGAGATGGTTCTGTCGGTAACAAATTTTTAAAATTGTATGTAGGAATCATTCTTGCCCACAAAATTTATACTATTTCTTAAATTTTATAATTAAATTTTTATATCTGTTGTTTATTAATTTTTATCATAATTTATTTATTGTAAAAATATTTTCAATTGATATTTTTATTTATTCAAAGATTTTTAGTGTAATTGAATTGGAACTTGATAACTTGGGCGATAGATTGCGTTAGTAACTCAATTTCATAAAAATTGTAAAATAATTAGTAATTTGTTGTAAAAAAAACAATAAAAATTAATTAAAAAATGTCAGGCTTTAATTTTTTGGGCAAAAATTCTTCTTTAAAAAATTTCTTACAAGCACTTCATTGAAATTAAAAGAAAAACTATTAAAATAATTTCATATCCTCGTTATAAATTACGATTGATAAATCGGTGTGAATTCAAAAACATCTGCATAACATAAAACTAAATAATCTTAACAAAAAAAGGCGACATTAAAACTTTTCTTACTCTCATATAACATCATACGCCGGCGGCTGCCCTCATACATGTATATCTCACTTGGTGAATTATTGAGAGCGAAATTATGAATTTTTTATCAAGTTCTCGCACGTGTGCGACTCGTGGGTGCATCAAGTCTGCTCCATGGGGATATAACACCAGCAAGTGAGCATAATATCATCGGCAAGACCTTTATAATTCAGCTGGTTTTTAAGACACCTACGTTTTCTCACCGGCGGATATAAAACACGTTAAATAGTAAGATTCGCATACACTCACACATCTTGCATTACCTCTGTACAAATATCCGTACTTATAAATACCTGCAAATCTTCATTACACTCTTACACTTTTACACACATACCTTCAAATTCTATATATATTTATATTTTGAAATAGCATCAAGTTTTCATACACACGTTAAGAAATTCACGCGTTCGCCGAGCCGCATCGCCGTTCTCAATCCTTAAATTACCCTATTATGAACGTAAATCAAATCCACCTTCAACTCGATCTCTATTTTAAAACTTTAAATAAATGTCTCGGCTCCATTAACACGTTTAATAATCAAAAATAGTTTTACATTTATTCGTTCAAGTTATATTATTCGATGAATATAATATTTCAAACCATTTCAACAATCATTATTTTGTTTCGATAAATATTATTTAACTAAATTATTATTATTATTAAATAACGCTCAATAACAGCCGATAGTCACATCAATCACATGTTCAATAATATATTAAAATAACCGCATGTAATATTTTTTATTTATTTCTCTCTACAAATGCTTGCACGTGAGATTCACAAAAGTACGGTATGAAAACGTGAGGATCGGAATTGATGTCGCGGTATTTTGTCTTTTCAACGCATGTACAGTTTTTATTTTTATTTTTTTTTTTTTAAAGCACCGACATATATATCAAATATTATTTTTAGAAAAAAATTTTATTGTTATTATTTTTTATGTTTATAATATTATTGTGAATAAAATAAATTTTGTTGTTACTTAATTTTTTTGTAACATTTTTTCCCTCAGAACTTTATCAAGCACCGCAACTCCAAAAACTAAAAAAATAGTAAATTTATACAATTGCATTAATATAAAATTGCAGTTATTTTTAATCATACTCTTTTTAACAATTTTGATATTATTGTAATTGTTTAAATTTTTTATTTTCGATATTGCAGTTCCTAAAAATATATTACTATAATAATAATAATAATAATAATATTATTAATTTGAAAATTTTTAATTGATTAATTTTTTTCACAAAATTTAAAAAAATTTTCTTGATTTTTAAATTAAAAAATAATTATCCAAATACTAGTAAATTTTCATCAATGATTAAATTTAAAAGCTTTAAGACAATTAAAGTATTAAAGACAAGTCCAAAGTCTAAAATCGAAAGCCTAAGGACGAACATTAAAATATGACATAGATGATGACGACGTTGATGACTGTGTAAATAAACAAACAACAATACAGTTAAGTATATCGGTTTAATCCTCGCAGAGGCGTGACATCCAGGTATTATAAACCTGCCGGTTTGTAAAAAGGACGATAAATAAAAATAACCCATGCCAAGACGTATAAGATGGCGAATGTCTTTCTGCAACACAGTTACTCGTGTGTGGCGGAGTAGTTACTCCTCATATAGCCCTCGATGATTGCAGGGTATTTACGGGCTCATTACTGCATCATGAATGTCCTCAGGACCTTTACATTGCTTCTAGAGACCTACGAGCGGAGGGTATGGTACATCAAAACTCTTCTGTTATAATGCGCTCTGTCTCCGTATGCCAAGAAACCTGAGAAATTACCGTATGTATAAATTTTATAAAAAATCAAACGAATCTGCGTGGACGTGAGCGTGACTGACGTCCATTTATTTTCACATGCATCATCTCGAAATTATTTAACGACTTCCATACGTAATTTTCCTCATTACCTCTAATGATCGATAGAATAATAAATAAATTAATTAACTATGCAATTAAAAATTGAAATTATATAAATTGTAAATTACACATCAAACATCCACACTTTATTTCAAAGTTTACATCGCATCGGTCTTTATCACAAATAAATTAATAAATTAGTCAATTAAAAAGACTTACTTATTTATCAATGCGAGGTTATTTTCTCAGATTATTTTCTTATTCATATTAATTGCTCGATGGGCTCGATAATGTCCGCAACAGACGTTAAATATCACGTGCGAGCAATCACTTGCAATTCTGAATAATAAGGAGAGATAGATGGTGTTTTTATTTATATTCTTATGATTGGATTTTTCAGAGAAGGTCAACGGCGCGTTCGATTAAAAATATTTTCCTCAGATTTTTCCTCGGCGTCGCAGGAAAAATCAGGATTTAATTTTTACCCAAATAAATTGGCTTCCTTTACAAGGAAACTATAATTGAATGGTTGGTCTGGGAATAATCTAAAGATACCACGAGTTGCGTGCATTTAATGTGTAAATATAAATATATATTCATAAATATAAATATATATATATTTGCGGTAGGCCCACGCATCATTACCCACGCGACTTCTAAATACATGAGACGCGTCAGCTGCGTATGGAAGAGTGTTAAAGAGTGTGCCTTGCCTCCAGGGTTTGTTGTTGTACAGCTCACACTTTTATAGTCTCCATTGGATTGGAAAGCGTCTTGGAGACTAGTGCTAAACATAAACGATTGATTAACCATGTGCATGAGCTTATTTATGTATCATGGATTATTGGATGATGTGCGTATGTGTGTGAGTGTTACACCCCCGTTCTTTGTCCGGCCAGGCACATGGACGATAATTGTCCGTGAGTCTCTTGACTATTGGCACGATATTGGGTGTCGTATTCCGGCACACCTCCGCCTATTGTAAATCAATCGGCTCTTGGGCTGGCGGGGGTCGCACCAGAGAGTTAACCAAGATCAAAAGTCCCCATACCAGCCTTTACTTGCTTCCTACTCTTATCACACGTGTGGCGACTCTCACTTCCGTCAACACGACGGATATATCGTTCTTTGTCGTACCCGAGCCATAAACCAACGGGTCCATCGATCGATCCGGATAAATGCGTCAGCGATTTTACTTTTTTCGTTTTATTTAGCTTTTCAATTGTCTCGACACTTGGCTGCAATTGAGAACTTGTGTAAATCGCATTAAGTGACATTGATTCATTATAATACATACCTTTATTGCTTTTTTTTGTCACTGACCTATTAAAGGTTTAATTGGGAAAAGAAAAACATTTTTTTTATCGATAATTTACAGAGAAAAAAATTAATTTGATTCACAATAAAAATTCTTCACAGAAAAAAAAAATTAACTTGAATCAAGTAAAAATTTCTTGAACCAAGAAAATAATTTTGAAAAGTTTCATTGTCTTGAATCAAGACGAAAAATTCTTGAATCAAGTAAAATTTACTTAAGCCAAGAAAAATTTCTTGGTTTAAGAATTTTTTTACTTAATTCAAGAAGATTAAGTTTTTCAAAATTATTTACTTGATTCAAGTAAATTTTTTTTTCTGTGT